TCATCCCAAAATATGAACAATAATGCCTTATTTTCTTGCATGGTTTCTGTAGGTTAGGAATTTCGGAGTGTATTGAACGGACAGTTCTCATTAAGGGTCTTCCATGACGTGGCAGTCAGATGTTGACTGAGGCTGCAGCTATGAGAAGGCTTGGTTGGGCTGGAAGATTCATTTCCAAGATGGTTCATTTCACATGCCTGGCAGATTGATGCTGTGTGCTGGCCAGGGGCTTCTGCTGTTCTCCATGTAGATATATATCCCCATGGGGCCATTGAGTTTCCTTACAACATGGTGGCTGGCTTCCCCCATAATGTGCAATTCAAAAGATCAAGGCTGAAGCAGCAGTGCCATTCATGACCTAACCACAGAAGTAACTTACTATCACTCCCACCACATCCTATTATTAAGTACTAGAAGCCCATTGCAGGAAGATTCCTGCAAGAATAGGGCTTCGCTCCCTTCTCTGCCACTCCTACCCTGCCCTTCTCTGTCGTTCCTACCCCGCCCGTCTCTGCCGCTTCTCTCCCGCCCATCTCCGCTACCTTGGCTCCGTTGCTTGGCTTCCTTCTACGGTCTTCAGTCTTCGCTCCCAGCCAGCATATGCAAATTAGCCGCCATCTTTGTTAGCGGTTAATTTGCATATCGTGCTGATTAGCCAATGGGAGGCATAGCGAAGGTATGGTCAATTACCATGTTTGTCTATTATTAGATAGGATGTTTTTGTACTGTAAGTCTTTAAAATTAGGTAAACCACAAATGGTGTAGTTGGTTGTCTCAAGTTACCAGGTTTATTTAGTTGCCCAAAGGCTTGGTTTCCAGAATATAGGAGCATAACAGACAGTAAGCTCTTCTTATCTTAACTTTACCTCAGAAATAAGCTCTAACACCCAGGCCAACCAGAATATGAATCAATGAAGACTTTGCATCTGCTACTTATTCCTGTTAGCACTGCTTCGTAGTCACGTTTAATCGGTAGAATGTCAGATAATTGCTCTTTACTGGAAATTATAGATCAAATTCAATTTTTTAAATTAATTGTGTAAGTTCAGAATAATGTAGTGAGGGTTTTAAAATAGTCTCCTTTAAATTTCATCATTAATGTGAAACAATAAAAAAATTATATCTTAAGTGGGAAATACATGACCATAAAATACTTCCCCAACCAAATCAAGCAGCTCTGGAATAAAGAGAGAAGATTTAATTTGTCAAGTGATGGATTGTTTTTGTTATTCATATAGCTGCCTGATGATTTCAGAACACAAGTCTTTAGCAGTTATGATTCCAGAAAGGTATGCAAGACAGATTTATGTTCATAGGCACCCAGAAAAGTATACCTGTTCTGTTGTTGCTGCTGATGCTGTTGAAGATTGTTTGGCATTTAAAAAGAGTCCAACATCAATGGACACTTCTTAATTTATATGATCCTAGATCTCTAATTTTGCCTAGAAATTCAGGTCAGTAATCCAACTAATAAAAAGTATGGCTTGAGTTATTATGATAAGACATATCTTATTATAAATTTACAGATTCAGAATCTCTGGCCATTGAACCGCTGGGTTAAAGACTAGAGAAGGCAGTTAGAGCTTAGCTCTCAAAGTTGGAGTGAATGTAGTATCCTATGCATTGACGAAACACCACGGTAAAATTCCTTTCTCTCTTAACAAGCCTCCTCCAGCCATGAAATTCCCTTTGCTCTGCTGCAAACCCAATGTAAAAAGGAGAACATGTTTAGATATTGAAAAACTGTAAGCCATTACCTACTTTATCACTCATATCAAAGACACTGAAAAGATAGCACATGTACAATTGATGGATTATCCTCATCATGAAAGTCTGGTGATCCCAGTTGGGTTTTCAAACAAGGCATTTAATAACCACTGCCTTGTTAAAAGGTGGAAAATGATCTGGCTAGTGGCCTGATAGGACGAGATTTTATTGATTTCACCGAGGCCCTTGACTTGGAAGATCACAGGCTCCTTAAGGGCAAACTTAAAAGGAAGCATGAAGATGGATGTGTAATTACCTGTGTGATGGATGTCGTTTTGTAAACATCAGAATTGGGTAGCTTTTCCTTTGGGTATCAATTGATGGGGAGGAAAAGACTGTAGGTGAAGTCTCATTTCAACCACTTTTAGTCCTTCTGCATATTTAGAACTAGCTTTGTTCTGTTAGAAGTCCTGGGTATAGTTGGTTTATAAGAGATACACTTTTTAAAATTTAAAATTGGTTTGTAAGGATGAATAAATAGATTGTTAAGCGTGCCAGAACAGCAAAATGGTGTTTCAAATATTACTGGAAAAAAATAGGGGTAACTTTATAAATGCCTTTAGCTGTCGTGATTCTGAGTCTACCTGGGAGTGTAGCTCTCTGAAGACTGGGGCTTCCCAAGGGGCCAGGCTGAGTTCTAGATAACATCAGAAAAGAGACCATTGATGGCAGGCTGGGGATGGAGGTCCAGGGTGGAATCAGTGCTAAGGAGATTTGAGGGCTGGAGAGGGGAATCAACCATGTCGCTCTCTGAGAAGAACAGGCGTGAGGGATTGCAGAGAGCGAAGCTCTGCGTGCATTTTTACACATACATTTAAGTATCAGACTCAAAAATATTCTTATATGACATTAAAATAATTATCTATTTTTTTCTTACAAGATGTGCTTATTGTAGAAAACGTAGGGAAGACCACTATCAAAAAGGAAGAAAAATATCCCTTCTCCCTATTTCTGAGATCTAATTTACAACTGTTAACATTTCAGTATATAAGTTTAGTTCTTTTTCTAAACAGAGAGCAAATTTTTTCCAACAAAAATTAGAATCATGTTGGACAAACTATATTTTTGGCGTATGCTTTTTCTGATTTATTGTGTCCATATTTTTAAGTCTTTAAAGTACTCTAACATGTGTTTACAGATGTGTTAATAGTCCATCAGACTTTAATCAATCCTCTATTTTTGGACGTTACATTTGTACCCAGGACTCTTCACTCTTTGTCTGATGGGCAAGGCCAAACATGGGAAATCACGGGGAACAGAAGTAGAGCCATTGGACTAAGTCAAGACATTAACTTGCTCAACCTTTTCACAGCTACTTATGCGAGTCTATATATGTCCTCATTTCTAAAGCAGTTTGATTGAGGGTTTGGGCTACATATAGCCCAAAGAATATCAACGGATATGGTAATCAGAATTCATGACTGTTAGTGCTTAAAATTCTGATTTTAAGAATTCTGAGATCAGAAAATTTCCTCTAGGACGTTCATACTAATTCATTCTCCTATAGGCAAGTGCTACAGCATCTTGACAAGCATGCTAAAGTTTATTTTGTGCTGCATGAAATAATGTTTACGGCAACCTACGGCTCTTTTATGTCACTGCTCTGGGAGATGCAGACTACCCTTTCTACAAGTAAGTTGTATTCATTTCTCTTCCCTCTCTTTTCCTACCTTCTAGACTTGTTTATTTATTTTATTTTAAATATATATATTTTTTATTTCAGAGAAGTAGGGGGGGGGGAGAGAAACATCAATGAGTAGAGAGAATCATTGATTGCTGCCTCCTGCACACTCCCTACTGGGGGATCAAGTCTGCAACCCCGGGCATGTGCCCTGACCGGGAATCGAACCCTTACCTCCTGGTTTATAGGTCTACGCTCAACCACTGAGCCATGCCAGCCAGGCTGGACTTGTTTATTTATATCAAGGCTTTTCTAAAAGAACTTGAACTGGTTACCAAGGATCCTGTGTTCTAATTCCCCCATCTGCCGTTCATTCTCTCTGTGGTGTTATATAATTTGTTAACTCTCTGTGGCCTACTTTCTTTACTCTCCCTCCTTAACTTACAGTTACTTGCATGGACAAAATAAAGCAATACATTCAAAAGCTGTTTGAGAAAATACACAAGTACTATCCAACTATTTTTCATCTTTAGCCCATGTTTCTACAATGCTGTTTCCTATTTCTCTCGCTTTGCTTTAATCTAATCTTGGAAAACTCCAGCTTTTAAGTCCCTAAATTCCAGTAATTATAAGTTATACTACCTTAGGAGATGGCACATTTAAAGCACTGAAGGAATTGAGATATATCCAAAAAAGCTTTCCAGCAGAGGAAACAGCACTCGCAAAGGCCCCAAGCCAGGACCATGTCTTAGTAATTGTAAATTTGTCAGCTGGGTCTCTGCTGCCTGCTATGGGACATTACCACTCTTTTTCTCTTCGGCTTCACCTCATTGTAGCCCTGTCTTCAGCATTGCTGAAACCCAGGTCCCCGGCATGCAAGGGACAAATACCAGAGCATACTTTTAGTCCTGACAAAAGCCAGTGCCCAGGAACTGATCTCACAATACTTTCATGTAAAGAAAACTGATGTCCAATTTTGAGGGAGTAGAAAGTATTTTCATCACCACCATCATCTGCCAATGGTTCAGAAAACACCAGCACCAACCCCACCCAGCCATCTCACATACTGTTCTTTGGCTCTAAAATTCTTTCTGTCCACCTCCCCCAAACACACTGGACTCCAGCTAACTCTTGTTCTTTATTAGAATCTCAACTCCAATGTCTCCTCTTCCAGGTGGTAAGCCGCTCTGTGCCATCCTTGTCCTGTCATTGTTGGGATCATGTCATTACTGAGATCATGTCACTCCTCTGCTCAAACACTTCAATAACCTCCCATCATGTAAAAGGAGATGTGGTCACATTTGCATGTCGGGTCCTGTCTGCTTGGCCTGTCCTTACCATTTCACTCTGACCTCATCTTTGACTACTCTCCACCCACTCAATCTCCCGTGCCCTGACCATACCAGACATAGTCCTGCTCAGGGCCTTTGCACTTGCTGTTCCTTCTGCCTGGAAAAAATTTGCCTCAGGAATCTCTCATTTTCTTCAGTGTTTTCCTCAAGTGTCATCTCCGGTAGACCTTCTCTGGCCAACCTACCTAAAATGTCAACATACCTCCTTAATCTTTGCATATTCTCTTTCCTGATTTATTATTATATATTTTTTAGAATTAATTGTCTTATAAATGCAGGGGTGGGTGATAGTAGGCTTACAGTTGTTTGTGTGGAAAAATAATTAATAAATAATGCAAGAATAAACTTTGTGTTTCACGTATTCACAGCTGCATATTACCAATTTCACTTAAATATATTCTGTCTCCATTACTCCCTACTCTCATCAGATTATAAATCCAGGTGGTCAGGCATTTCTGTGTCTTTCATTGATTAACCACCATCCTCTTCATTGCCAGGAACTCAGCAAGTCCTTGCTGAATATTGGCCATTGCATCTAAGCATGCATTTATATATGCACTTCTTATCTACTTATGGATTAACTTTACTGTGTTTCATTGCAGATTTCTTTCCTAAGGACCCAGGCAGGAGTCCTAGAAGGCTGAGGCAGAGAGCAATATGAATGAGGGTTGTCTTGCTGCATTCAGAACTGCTGCCCCTCCCCCATTTCCAACTCCCAATGTCATTCAAAGGAGCTCTTGATTCCATATACCCTGTCCTCACCATCCTCCAGATATTTCAGGAACACCCGAATTCTGAGTCACAACTGAGCCCCCCTAGTGCATTAAAATGAACAGAAATAAGAGAACCCTCATGTATGATAGGAACAAACTTCTATTGTAACAAGATTTAGACATAGCACAGCAATTAATTTTGACATTTTCATCCGACTTGTAAAAAGAGCATATATTGGGATATTTGTGGAGGACAAACCCTCACTTTTCACTAAATGTTAACAGTGCCTTTTATAGTGAGAAATCAGGACACTAGATTATTTCTGCCATTTAAAGGAAAAACTTACTACGCAGGAATGAAAGCTCTAGTATGTTAAATGTTATAATAATACATTTAAAAGATTCGAACCATAGATGTTTTTCATGAATATGGGCAGGTTGTGTCTTTTAAACATAATTCGTTTTAAACATCCCTGCCATGTTAGTGAAAATGGCTCCCTACTTTGCTCTTCGAATGGCACATTGGTTCTCAAGAAAGGTTTTTGAAAGCTGGTGTTTGGTTCTTGACAGCTGTGCGCTCTCCCGGGCGGCCAGGGGAGACTCCACCTTTCTAAGTGTAATACCTGGTCATTGGACTCCACGTCAGGGAGGGAAGGTTATCCTTTTTGTAGGAAGCCTGGATTTTAAAGACAGAAGAGACCCAGGGCCTTCGTGAGCAGGCAGGCTTCAAGCTGTTCCCAGACGCTGTGCTTACTCCTGGAGGGCAGACTTGGTTTCCACGCCCAAGAAGTCTGAGGAAGCAGCATCATTAGTCCAGTAAGTGGGTCACTGGCGCCCAGTGGAAGCCCAGTCTGGCCTTGCGAAGTACAAAGCTGGGGCTCTCCTGGGCATGTGGACACCAGTGGGTCCGTGTGGGGAGCTCAGCGTTCCCCTTTGCTCTGAACAATCCGGATCCCTGAGCGCTCATTTCAGTGTGGGGAGGGGCCTGGTGGGGGTGGGTGGTGGGGGGTGAGGAGCAGCGTTGACTTGGTCTGATGCAATCTTAATGGCTTAAATGAGGGAACCTTAGAAATGCCTATAATAAAATACATGCCACACATCACATACACACTTATAAGGCCATGAACTGCGTGTGTGTGTGTGTGTGTGTGTGTGTGTGTATGTTCTGTTTTTGGCAGTGGAGTGGGTGGGAAGTGTGAAATTGCACACAATTTATGCTGTCATTTCTGCAGCACGTCTAGTGAAGTATCTAGGTGTTTCTCCTAATATCTCTGCTGCAACATCCAAATCATAGTCTTCCCGTGTTAGCTGAAAGCATTAAAACCAGAAATTACCATAATAGTGCTATTTACCCCTCATTTATGGAACTACTAGTGTTATTTTTTTCCCCCTAGGGACTTTACAGAATGCATTTCAACCAGCAGTATTTGTGGTCTGGCCGAAGAAACTCAAGTGTACTTAAAAAACACAGCTGGGCATTGTATCCAAAGACGAAACCAGCAGGCTTGTCATTTCACAAAAGGGACTTCCAGAGGTCGCAGTCCCTGTAATCGGAGAGCATTTCGTGTGGTGTGGGAGGCTGTGGACTAAAGCCTTATTTCACAGCTAATCATCTCCATGTGCGTATGTAACTGGACCAGTGTTTCCATGAAGACCGCACATTTCCACAGCACATGTAAGAAATCCCGTTTCACTTTATGTAAAAACAGGCCTGAACGTAGGGGGTGAGGGGGATATAAACCCTGAAAGAGCTGCTTAGCCTGAACCAGAAAGGTGGGGGGTGGGGGGGAGTAGTGTGTGTGTGTGTGTGTGTGTGTGTGTGTGTGTGTATGTGTGTATGTGTGTATGTGTGTGTGTGTATGAGATAACCTTAAGGCTGTTAGCATGGTTTTACTTCATTGACATTTTATTCTCAGGCGGAGCACTTGGAGACTCCCTCTGAGTTCACCCACGGCCTGACTGTGGTATTGGTGGCCCGGCCACAGGGTCACTGCGTTATTGACTCGGTCTACATTACGCACCGCCCGCCCCCCCCCCCCCCCCCCCGGCCCCAGGCTCCTGGGGATATTTTCAGATGGGCTCACTAATGAGCATCCATGTGGAAACGTCTCAAGCATCTTGGCCCCTCATTACTTTTTCTTTTTTTCTTTCTATTTGTCTAGGCCAGTGGTCGGCAAACTCATTAGTCAACAGAGCCAAATATCAACAGTACAACGATTGAAATTTCTTTTGAGAGTCAAATTTTTTAAACTTAAACTATATAGGTAGATACATTGTTATTCACTTAATTAGGGTACTCCTAAGGCTTAGGAAGAGCCACACTCAAGGGGCCAAAGAGCCGCATGTGGCTCACGAGCCGCAGTTTGCCAACCACTGGTCTAAGGTATGCCAAAGATAAAATTTAAAGTGATGGGGTTGGGGGGCATTTTGAGACTGAAATATATACATTTCATGGACAAAAATCAGTCAAGCAAGAGACCTTTTCTATAATCAGAAAGAAAGCAGTTCAAATACCTACTAGCTGAGAATGGAGTTGGTTCGGTTCATAGGGTGTTCTATGGAGTATTTTATTAGTTTACTCTAGGAGAGCTTTCTCCAATTGCCTCCCAGGTATTTGAACAGTCCTGTAAATGGCACCTTAACAGTGCACATCCCAGTACATCAAGGCACGATGGTCACTGGGCTACACTGAGACCTCTTTCTACTACCGTCCCGTGCTTTGAATTCTATACCTGTTGGGCACAACATTTCCCCAGTGAGATCACTATCCACATATGTAAGAACTTGTCTTATGTGTGCATGTGTGTGTGTGTGTGTATGTGTGTGTGTGCATGTGTGTTTCATATTGAAACACTAAGAACAATGTAAAAACAGGTCTCCGAATCTTCTTTCCTAGGTTCCTTTCTATCACTCACTGTCAGAAAGGGTATTATTTCCCATGTCATCTAGCAAATATATGGTGTGAAATGTGAATTCTTAAGCAATGGATTTTTTTTAAGATGACAGAAAAATGTAGGTTCAGCCAGGAGAATTTCTACTGAGAGAAAATAAAAGTAGAGATATGTAAAAATAAATCAAAAGAAAGCGGATCTCTTAAAGAATTCAGACATGGTGGCTGCGGGGGGAGACACAGACACCATTTTGAGTTTGGTAGGATGTTATTTTCTGCCCTCTCAGATATATATTTTGTAAGGAGAGCAACAGTGTGTGTGTGCAATCATTGGATTGCTGCTTTTCAGGCTTCTGCTACAGTTATGTTTGATTTCTGAAGAAATCAGTGTAAGGAAACCCGGGGAACTATCACAGTGTTCTCTGCAGGATTCCAAAAATAAGTGAGGCCTTTTGGATGGTGCAGTTTGACCTCAGGTATAAAAGGGGTAGTCATTGGCTCAAGTAGCTAAGTACAGTTGTCATCGAAGGATCTAATAAATGATGTTAATTGAAGTTTTTTTATAAACCCACGGCCGGTGGCTTCTTTTGCATTACATTTCTAGTGTTCTAAAATCTAGTGTTTAAAGCTGAGCCTGTCAAGGAGACTTAAGATTTGTGTATGTTATAGTCTGAAAGCTGTACCTTTATGTCTGGGACAGGGATGGCTCATGGGCTCCTCCTACATGCCAATTCCATGTAAGCGTGGCAGCCTGCAGACTTACCTGGAAAGTGTGTGGGGCATCTACGGGTAGGAGGGAGTAATATTTGTAATTGTTACAGGAAGGAGTTTGTGCAGTAATAATACCCATGTCAGGCATTTTCTATCCCTCATCTAAAAATTTACACTCAATTGTGTGAGCTTGTTATTTTAACAGCTGACGTACAGATTTGAAAATATATAGCATTTTGTTCCAAATGTTAGCTGATTCAAGATGCTTTAAATCTGTGCTGTCCAATATGGTAGTCATCAGCTGAATGTGGGGGTTGAGTGCTTGAATTATGTGGCTAGTCCAAATTGAGGGATACTGTAACTCTAAAAATACCTATTCGATTTCAAAGACTTATTATGAAGAAAGAATGTAAACATCTTGTGACTATTTCTTTTATTGTTACATGTTGAAATGATAATATTTTAGGTATAATGGGTTGAATAAACGATATCATTAAAATTAATTTCACCTATTTCTTTTTACTTTTTGAAAATGTGGCCACTACAAAACTTCAACTCACACAGGTGACTCACATTTCTGGCTCACATTCTATTTCTGTTGGACCGTGCCGCTCTCAGGTAACATGTCTTCTCTTCTTTCATTAGCTCTAATGTTTAAATATTTTGAGCTTTAAAGAAAGATTGTGGGGTTTTTTTTTCTACAAATCTGTGGAAAGAAATTCTTCATTAAAAAAAAAAAAATGTAACGAATTTTCCAGGCTGTGTTATGCCTTTGGGCCTTTGCTCTCACTTGTTTGGAATGCCACCAGTGCCCAGCCACCCAGGGAAAGCCCACACATTTTTCAGGACTTGTCTCAAGTACCACTGTGGTCTAAGACCTAACACTGAGGCCTGGCCCAGCTGGCATGGCTCAGTAGTTGAGCGTCGACCTATGAACCAGGAGGTCACGGTTTGATTCCCTGTCAGGGCACATGCCCAGGTTGCGGGCTGGATCCCCAGTGGTGGGCGAAGCAGCTGATCAATGATTCTCTTTCATCACTGATGTTTTTATTTCTCTCCCTCTCCCTTCCTCTCTGAAATCAATAAATATATTTTAAAAACAAAAAAACCCAACTGAGGCCTGCTATTACGTGTTGCCTTGTTGCCTGGTGAGATTGGGAGGGCCTCGAATGGCCAAACCTCGAATTCCACTCCCCACTCTGCTCCTGCAGATGAGGTTCCCCCAGACTAACCAAGCTCCTTATCAAAGGAACCAAGGGCAGTGCCTGCTTATCCTTGAGTAGGAGGGGCCCATTCCCTGTGAGCTACAGAAGGATTAGAACAAGGCAATCATACCCTCCTATGAGACCAGGGGCATCTCCTCTTCTCAGTAGAAAAGCCTGCTTCCCGCGGTGCCTGGCTGTTCACTCTAGTTCAGATCCCCAGTCCCATGTGACCCTGCATGGCATGCGGTGCCCTTCTCACCCAGCTGTGAGCGCAGGTGACTAATGAACTTTTAATTTCCCCTGTCCAGTGCTGAGTCTCATGTGCTCAGTCACCCCTATCATCCTAGGACGGAATCTCTCCCTCACCTACAGGGAGAATAAGAAGTGATTAAAACAAATGTTTTCTTGCCTCAGCTTCCCCTTCCCCGCTCTTCTAAGGTAGGATTGGCCACCCCCCTCCTTTGTCACACTCCCTGTGCGCTGTATGTCTTTCTACCTTCGTAAGCAGACCTCTCGATGGCAGTAATTTGCTGATATGTACTGTCGATCCAGGCCCCTCTGTTAGAAGCTGAAAGATGATTGAAGGTAGCAACAATTCCTCCTGTTTTTATATTTCAGGTTCTGGGGATAGTGCCTGGTCAATAGGAGGCACTCAGTAAATGACAAATGAGTGAATTTTGAAAACCATTACATGGTTGATTTTGGTATTAAAATTTTCCTACTTTTTATTTTTTTTAAATCTATTTTTATTGATTTCAGAGAGGAAAGGAGAGGGATAGAGAGACAGAAACATCAATGATGAGAGAGAATCATTGATTGGCTGCCTCCTGCATGCCCCCTACTGGGAGGGATCGAGCCCACAACCCCAGCATGTGCCTTTGGCCGGAATCGAACCTGGGACCCTTTAGTCTGCAGGCCAACACTCTATCCACTGAGCCAAACCAGCTAGGGAAAAATTTTCCTACTTTTTAAAACAGAAATAACTAAATTGAATTTTTCTCCATCTAACAGTTGCCCGTGGGAGGGTAGGGGAGATGTCTGCTTATGCTGCCATCTCCTGAGGAAGAGAGGGTAATGGGAAGAGGACTGTGGCTCCTTCCCACTGGGGGAGGCTGTGAGTGTGGAACACAGAGGATGACCTTGGCAATACAGTCAGAGAACCACCATGAGAATAAAATCAGCTGATTAACCACAATCTGCCTTTCAGGAAACCATCATTGAAATAAACAGATATTCTTGTAGAATTGGAGAGCAAGGAAGATGCTCAGTGTGACTATAAATAACTCAGACTTATTGGAGAGGAGAGGAGTCCATGTCAGTGGAGGGAAAAGGCCAACAGGAGATGAGCATTTGGGGGAGAATGAGATGAAGTCAATCTCGTTGGAAGAACTAGGCTGAATGCGATGCAGTTGGCCAGCCAGGGCCTGGGACTGATACAGCGTTTACAAAGCTGGGTCTTGCTCTCAAACCACTACGGTGCTTGCACTACAGGGACATTAGGGTCTGCAGAGTCGTGGGAGGAAGGAATCATCCTGAGTCAGTTTGCAGCCTTTCTACCAACTGCTTCCAGGGCCAGACATCTGGCTTCCCACTGCTTCTCCATGAACCTTGCCCAGAAGGCAGGAGAGACACCCAAGGCCAGAGCACCATAGCTCCGCGCTCTCTCCGTTCTCTCAAATGTCCCCAGCGGAGTGACACAGTGATGGCATACCATCTCTTTGCAACCTGATTTCCTCCTATCACTTTTCTGGACAAGCAGGACCTCTCTAATGAATAAAAGACTGAGATTGGGAGGGCCTCGAATGGCCAAACCCCAGTTTCCACTCCCCGCTCTGCTCCTGCAGATGCGGTTCCCCCAGACTAACCAAGCTCCTTATCAAGGGAACCAAGGGCCATGCCTGCTTAACCTTGAGTAGGAGGGGCCCATTCCCTGTGAGCTACAGAAGGATTAGAACAAGGAAGTCATACTCTGCTGTGAGACCAGGGGCAAGTAAAGCAATTAAAATTATATGATAAAATATTATGGTTTGGTTTAACTACATTAAAAATGATTATGAAGATAGGTTGTTTAAACAAATGTCGGTGGATGTTGGCTAACTGCCCTAGTTGGAAAGGACTTTCTTGTGTTTCTCATTTTTTTTGAAGTGAACATATCAAGATTTTATTGTCGTATAATAAAACAAAACATGAAGCTTAGAACTGGATCACTGGACCTTTTCCCTTCTTATCTCCTCCCAGTTCCAAAGGCTCGCATCTCTTCACAGCCAGCATCCTCTCCGATGTGCAGTTGGGCTCAACACATTCAAGCCTCAGCACAACCTTCTTGGTAGGTGTAGCCTTTTTTTTTCCGGAAAATTGGCTTAGTCTGGCCACTCTGCCTCCTGTCACAACGCCGCTTTCCCTGCGCGCACAGAGCTCCTTGCCTGTCTTGCACTGTGTTACTTTGTGGGGTTGATGCTTGCCACACTTCTCACAGAAAGTTCAGCGGGTTTTAGGAATGTTCACCGTTTTTGTGAGCGCGCTATCGGCAGGGAAAGGGGGAAAAAAGCACTCATTGTTATCTTTATATATATTTTATGTTGAATTGTCCTAGCCTTTACACAATTATTATTGCAATAGATACAGGGTGCTCTAATGTTCTCACGTCACAACTTATGTCAGTCCTTAAACGATTTAAAACGTGGCTGGCCTCTGGCAACCCTACGTCTGGACTCAGTGTTTTAGAATGGAGGTGATTCTTGCCACTGAGGTAGGATCAGAGTGAGGTTGTGGCGAACCAATGGACATGACCCCAACGCCCATCAGGTTCAGTAGCTGGGCTCTCCTCTGGCCAAGTTCCAGTCCCCAAACAGTCTATTTCATTGATATGCATGTCCTCTGGCCTTGAGGGGCTTCCAGCTTCAGAAGATAGAATTTATGTTTTAGATATCTCAGCTTCAGTTTATGTCTCAGTCTGCAGACTCGCCTCCATTTGGAATTAGATTAACTTAAAACGAGAGCGCAAGTCCTTTGTTTGAAAATCTGTTTGCTTTGCCTGGTGATTTAATTTGCAGCTCAGATACGATTTCGGCCTCCCGGTTGGGTGGTGTCTGCTTTGCATTTGCTGGGTGTTGTTTGCAAGGTCCCGGGACATCGCAGGATGCCGCCAGCAGAATAACAGCAGACACTGGAAGGGCAGACCCCACCTGTACTTTAACATCTGCTGCAATTCTTCTGGCTTTGAGAAGGAAGGGGTACTTTCTGCTCTGCAAAGCATCTTGCGTTCTTCTCTAAACATTTGCCTTTAAAACATCCTCAAGCTCCACACGTGTACCCCCCCTTAATTTTTAAACCCACGTACACTTCAAGGAAAATTGAATCCATATGCTTCTGATTCATTTACCCACAACTCATCAAAATGTTGTTTTAAAAGAGCTAAACTCAAGTCCCCAGGGGCCAAGCAGGTTCTGGACTTGGCCGAAAGCTTGCACTTCCCTGGTCATGACTGAATGTGAGCCAGCAAGGTCTAGTGAAACAGGAACCCTCACACTTGCAAGAATTTGCACTGACTAGCACCTTTCTTGGAGGTTCAGCTACACGAGGTGACTTCTTAGCCTGCAGTCAGCTTCCTTTGCACAGCTGCACTGCCTGTCCTGGCTTTAGTCAAAACTGTAGGCAGAAAACTGCCATTAAAAGTCGCTCTTTACATTGTTCTAGCCCAATTAGAGGGATCAGACAACTTTGGGGGAGGGGCTATCTATGTATATAAAAGGCTAATATGCTAAGTGTCCTTCCCTCCATATGGGTAATGATGTCACATAGCAATGCCTGCTTCCTCTCTCTAGAGACGACTAGCCTCCTTGCAGTTTCTTTAGCCTGAGAACACTTTAGCCAGATGGAAACACCTCACACTTTTATGTGTTATCTAAAGTCTTTTATCTCATTTAGACAATAACAAAAATTCATAGAGGAGCCAAATAATATAACTCCATTGCACCTGTAAAATGAGTTATTCTTCTTTCTTGTCTTTTCCCCTTTTCTAATAGTTTTTCAGAAGGCAATTCACCAACTGGGTGGTAGGTGTGCTGGGTAAATCTCATGACAAGCTACAAGGCACAATTCCCTACCTTTCCTGAAGTCCCTCAACCTCATTCATGAAACAATTACAGTGAATTTGTTTATGTACCTGTAACTGAGTTTGTTGACTTTGCATCTTGCTAGAATGCAAGCTTCTAGTGTTTCTTCATCTCTGGGAAGGCTACAAACAATACCTATTACAGAAAAATGATTGAAAAGTTATGCAGTTAAAACTGGCTTCTGGCACAGGTCTTCCCAAAGAAACTTTATTATGAGCAAGTTGAAGTGGAATGAGATTCTCTCCGACATGTTACTTCAATTTAAATATTTCTTTACCTAAAATGATTAAGTAAGTTATAGATTTGAGTAGATGGCTCATGTTTTCTAATTTGGGGAGGCCTCTCAAGATGTCCATACAGGGAAGAACTTCATATATTGGCCTTAAGAATAAAACACAAGGAGCACATTTGCTTGTTCTCCCAACCAATCCTAGAGGATCATGCCTTCACATATTAATACCTCTGACATGAAGAAAATCAAGGATCCAGTGATATCAGAAGGGATGTTGTAAACACATGTAACTGTGGACTTCTAGTGCATAGAGAGGCTTGATGTCAGCAAAGCATCCTCATTTTGTTGATCCAGATCCATGTTGCAGAATCCGGCAAAGAAAACTGAAAGCAAAATAAACAAAACAAGTTTATATCTCACTTTAAAATTGTTAAAATTGGACTAAGAACAGCAATGTGATTGTTGTAATTACCCTAAGGGTCCATATAAAATATATGCATACTTTTATCTCAAAGACCCTGGTGTACTATTTTTCTGTGTGGTACGGGGGTTTATAAAGTTAAGACAAGGGAACAACAGCTAATATTTATTGTATTCCTTTTCTATGTGCCAGAATTGTTCTAAGCACTTCCGTTGTAATCTTTACATCAATCCTATTGTTTCTCTAGTTTATAGTTGCAAAAATTGAGATTCAGAAAGGTTAAGTAACTTGCTAGGGGACAATGTTAATAAAAGAGCTAGGAATATTACTCAGAGCTGTCTGAAGCCAAAGCTCACATTCTTATCCAGTAGATTATTCTGCCTGGAGGATGCAATTTTAGCTGGAAGACAGGGGACTAGGAACCAATAACGCTAACACTAGAAAAATCCACCTCATCATCTCATATATTGTTCCTCCTCTGGAGAGGTAAACACACACACACACACACACACAGGCTAGACCATTATATTTAACAAGACTGGAAGATTTTATAGACTAGCCTAAGGTTTTGAAGGTATCATGGCAGGTGTTAAATGAGTACTCAAAATATAGCCAATAATCAAGCATACTAACATAGACACGTTTTTTTTTTTTTTTATTGTTGGTTATTCTGGTCTTTTAAAAAAGCAAAACCCTGTATTAGCAAAGATAATTGAAATTTAAAAATAAAGCAAATGTAAGTCCATGTAATGTCACATTGTAGCATTGTTTAACAGGTCCTCTTGAGGGTAAAAGTCTTTGTTTAATATTTATTATATACTATTGGCTAGGGCCCAGACTCTGTGAAGACATAGTCAACTTAGAGAATCTCAGCCAGGAGAGATGTAAATAATTCTGTCCACAGAGCAAGTAACCCTAAAGGTTACAATTTTATTGTCCTAAAGGACATTGACCGTGATTGTCTTTAAATTTGCAGACTTACTTTCACATGCTTTACCTGAGAGACTGGATATACACTGAGTGGCCAGATTATTATGACCACCCCATCAATACTTCGTTGGGACACATTTTGCCTTCAATCCTGCGACGATTCTTCTTGGCATTGACTCAAGAAGAATCGCCGCAGGATTGAAGGCAAAAAGGTGGCCCAACAAAGTACTGATGGGGAGGTCATAATAATCTGGCCACTCAGTGTATATCTGGCTGTCAGATTTGTCTTTGAACAACTTTACTGTCCTGCTAAGTTCTCTCATTAATGAATTAAGTGATTTTTTGACATGGGCTAACTTTTTATTTGTGTAAGAGTCATGATTTTTTACTCGTTTGAAAATTAAACTTTGACATCTCAGAAGGCTAAATAGGTAAAATGGATGAATTTGAGATAGGATTTTAATGACAGATCCTATAAGGAGACCCCAGTAGATCAGGTGCATTAGAAACCCCTTAATCCTGTGTAACTTAGATCCCAGCACCGAGCAAACGTCCATCTCTGATGGGGCAGCAACTACCCTCTTTGCGAGGAAAAGCTGGTGGGGCCAATATGTCCAATGGTCCTAATTGAAGAAGTGACTGAATTCCTGATTTTTTCCTAGACAAATTAAAGAAAAACAGGCCATCCTTTTATCATCTCACACTCTAATAGATGAAGGTGGGGGCTGATGTACTGCTCGTATTTCCACAGAGGGATAAAGCAGTCTGAGTTGTTTCAGGAAGTCAGAGGTCAAGTTCTTTCTGCAGATCTCCTAGTAAATGATATGCTTAGAAAAGTGTTTGTCAGGTATGGTATTTGGTCTATTGGAGTGTAGCAACTACCCTCCTCACGGGCCACAGACTGATTCAAAAATGTAGGATGTTTTCTAGTGTAATAAAGCACAGTTCTGTAAAATTTTCTCTTTTTATGCATGGCCAAGGCTACTTGACAGTGACCTATCATCTTTAATATTAACAGCAAAATTAGACTCACCAGAGTTTACTGAGGACTCAGAAGTTTACTATATAGTGGACATATTTGTCAATATTTAAGTCTGTGAGAGGAAGAACATTTTTTATCTTCACCCAAGGATATCTTTATTGATTTTACAGAGAGTGGAAGGGACGGGGGTGGGGGGATATTGATGTGAGAGAGAAACAGATCAGTTGTCTACCATATGTGCCCTAACGGGATTGAACCTGCAGCCTAGGTATGTGCCTTGACCAGGAATCGAACTCACAACCTTTTGGTGTATGGAACAACACTCCAACTGAGCCACCTGGCCAGGGAAGGACTTTGTTTTGTTCATTCCCATATCCCCAACACCCAAAACAATGCTTGGTGCACCTAGTAGGCAGTGGTTAATATTTGAGTATGTACTGGAATATTTGAATAAATGACATGTGCATAGACATCAAATGGGTTTCCCACAATTTGGGGGAAAGGTATATTGTTATTATTACATCAATAATGTGATTCTCATTGAATCTTGCTTTAGAATTCTAAATTACTGTTAGTTTAGCTTCATTACTAATTTTAGTATGATGTGGCTTATATGGCTAACCCTATAATATGTAGGTCTGCACATT